TTGGATCCTCTGGAACTGGAGGTACAGACTGTTGTGAGCCTCCATGTGGGTGCTGGGAATTAAACTCAGGTCCTTTAGAAAAGCAGCCAGTGCTTTTAATCATTGAGCCATCACTCTAGCTCCTAAATAGCTTTTTAAACTTTACACTGCAACAGCTCAGAATCCTTTGTTCAAATGGAAGGGGAAGAGAGGTACATTTCAAGATGTAGTTTTTGGAATCTGTATATTGGAAAACAAGCAATTACTCAGTTCACAGATCAATGAATTGTGGAAACATGAAGCAAGTCTGGAAGATCTGAGAACTGGTCCTCCCACTTCTTTCTCAATGATCCTTGGCAGCCTGCACTCAGGGCTAGCAGCAAGCATCCCTGGGCTCTAGCATCTGTCTAGTTCTCTAGCAGGGAGGGAGGGAGGGCTGCACATAGCTAAGAGCAGAGGTGCTGTTGGTTCAAGAGCAGATATGAGCACAGCCAGACTGGCTTCCTTGCCAGCTGATGGTCACGACTCAGCACAGATCTCCAAAGTACCCAGTGGCTGGGCCTTTTGACTAGATGCATGCAAGTTTCTATAGGAGGTGTGTGAGTGGGGTGCCACCTCTGCTGACTCCTGTCATAGCATGGTGGTGTCCCTGTGGGTGTTCCCACTCTGCTGGGGAGGACCCTGCTTCCTCTCCCCTTCTTTTTTTTTGTTTTGTTTTGTTTTTTTGTTTTTCGAGACAGGGTTTCTCTGTGTAGCTTTGTGCCTTTCCTGGAACTCACTTTGTAGACCAGGCTGGTCTTGAACTCACAGAGATCCGCCGGCCTCTGCCTCCCGAGTGCTGGGATTAAAGGCGTGCACCACCACCGCCCGGCTCCTCTCCCCTTCTAAAGCCAGGGACAGGAAGGATTCCCATTCCCCATCCCAGAAAGCCTGTCTTCTCTGTCTTCTCACCCCTGCCTTGGGAGAAGAACTTCTCTGGGGGTCTGGGAAAGGAATGGACATGCCTCACCCTCCCTCCCTGGCCGTTAGCTCCTTCTTGCTAGTGCTTTTGGACAGCTCTGCCACTGTCTACTTATCCTTTGAGGAGTAACTTAGTTCTTTAAACTCTGAAGCAATGTTTTAGTAACCATTTAGCCTCAGGACTTACATATCATTCTCCTTTTACTCTCTTTTTATTTTTTATCTTTGTTTTCAAGACAGGGTTTCTCCATGTAGCTCTGGCTGTCCTGGAACTCGCTCTGTAGGCCAGGCTGGCCTCAAACTCACAGAGATCCACCTGCTTCCCAAGTGCTGGGATTAAAGGTGTGCCACCACCACCACCCAGCTCTTTATTTCTTTTGAGTCAGCATCCCATGTAGCTCAGGCTGGACTTGAACTCCTGTTCTTCTCACCTCTATCCCCTCTCAAGTGCTGGGATTACAGGGGTGCAACATCTTGCCTAGCTTTAGTCTATATTTAAAAGGTTTGCATTTTAGGGGCTGGCAAGATGGTTCAGTGTATAAATGTGTTGCTGCCTAGCCTGATGACTTGTTTGATCTCTGGGACTCACATGGTGGAGGAGAGAACTGATTTCTGCAAGTGGTCTGCTGACCTACCCACCTCACACACGTTCTCTCTTTTTCTATTCATTATAGGCCCATCTCTATCATTATGTCCTATAAGGGTGGAGGCTGGTTGCTTTTATGTAAATAGAGACATAGTCCCAGCCTTGAAGAGGACAGTGGATAAGAAACTATCTTTTCTCCCTGACAGTAGCCATTCTTGCCACTGAGTTCCTCTCTTGCCAGCTGCTGCACCACTGCTGAGGGTTTGCACAGGGCATCCTGCTGTCACCCTGCAGGATGTGTCCACGGGGCTGTCCTGCCCAGGCACTAGTGCTGGTGTTGTAAGACCATTTTAACAGTTCTGGTTTTCACAGGCCAGCTAAGTGAACTTTTTGCTGTTCTATTTTGTTTCACCTTATTTATTTTTGAGATAGTGTCATATATATCCCAGACTGGCTTCAAACTTGTGCTGTTCCCGCCTCAGCTTCCCAAGACCCAAGATTATAGACATGTATTATCAAGCCTAGCTCAGCTAAGAGGACTTGAAAAAAATCCACAGGACTGTGAGCCTAGGGTGAGGATATTTAGGAGGTTAGCAGGTACTATCTGGCTGGGTTTGAGTCTGACTGTCTGGAGTGCCCACACTGGGGATGTGGCCTGGGCAGGTTCTTTCAGGTATTTGATCAGATATTTCAGCTCTTGATCCACAAAACAAGGCCAATGGTCCCTTCCTTCATGTAAGATATTGTGAGGTCTGTTCCTCTGCCCCTAAGAAGTGCATTGACATTCTCTAACATTACAGACATTTAGAAACACAAGCTGGTCTAGGATGTTCAATCTGTGATTTTACAGATACCATGAATGAGGCTACAGTCTGGATGCACACCAGGTTCAAACTGTTTAGACACCAAGTAAAGAAAATACAAAAGAACATAACAAACATTTGAAAACTGAAGAAAGCAACCTTAAACTCAGGCTGGCTGGAAGGAACTGTGCTCCTGTGACCAATGGTCCATCAAAGAAGGCCCTAAGGAAGGTCTGAAGGACAACCCACCAAGGGCCAAAGCTGGAAAGAGTTAAAAACGGGGCAGGTCTGTGGTTTCTCTGCCTCCCACCCCCACCCCAGCTAATCTGTCACCTAATGAAGAAGGGGCCGGCACAAGTGAGCTAGCTGGCAGTTCACTTACAGCAAACTGATTAAGAATGTTCAACCAACAGCAGACTGTAGACCTTTCCAGAGAAAATAAATAGAGTGTAGACTGTATGCAAATGTGTTTGTCACTTTGACAGCACGTCTCAATTAAGGCATCTCGCGGCTGTGGGTAGGCTCTGTGGCTGCAGCTGGAAGGGAGAGCCTGCTGCATGGCTGATACTAGGGGCTTGACCTTAATCCGCATGCATGCATTAAAAAAAAAAAAAATCCTGCCTTCCTGTATACTTGCATAATGCTGGCAGCCACGTGAGGGAAGTGACAAACGGGGAAAGCCACTTTCATCCTCTCCAGTTTGCAGACCTGTGAGGGAACAGACAGCTCTTATTTCAACAGTTTGGGGTGGCTTTTTTAATTGTTTATCCCCCTCCCGTGTGAGCACACACACTCTTATTCTGCATTTAGCTGAGAATGACATTAAAGCCTCTCTCTATTTCTTGGCGAAATGGGAAGAAGGTCTCTCTATTTCAAATAGGGCCTCTTTTTTTGTGTGTTTTGAAAATGGAATGTTTAACACCATGAAATCCCTCTCCCCGCCCCCTCTTTCTCTGTAATGGGCTTCCAACTCCAGCCAGGGCTCCTTTCATGGGCAGGTTCACATGTGCAGGAATGAGGACAAAGGAAAGCAGGAAGCTGACTCTGGAATGCCAGGCTGGTGACAACCAGGGCTGTGCTTTCAGCAAACATGGCTAGGAACTGCTGTGAGGATTGCTCCAACAGGGCCTGAGCCCCAGAGGAGGCAGGTCTTCAGGGTACAGACAGCAGAGAATACAAGGAGTTAGTGCTTCTGCTTTACAGTACATGTCAGTTTCCAGAATAGCCCTTCTAAGTGTAAAATTAGAAAAACGGCAGATTTCCCCAATTAATGAGGTATGGACATATTACCCGAAAAGACGATTAGAATAGAATGATTTTCATGCTTCAGCCAGCCAGTGCTTTATAATGACCCACAGCAACAGTCTTGCTACTTCTCTTTTTCCTTTTACACTTTTATTTGTTTACTTTTTGTATGTGTGTTTGCTTACACATGTGGGGTATGTGCATGCAATGGCCCACATGTGGAGGTCAGATGACAAATTGGGAGAGAGAGTTGGTTTTCTCCTACCATGCAGTGGCTGGGGACTGAACTCAAACTGTCAGGTTTGGCTGCAGGTGTCTTTACCTGCTGAGCCATCTTGAGGGTCTGGTTCTCTTTATTTTTACATAGCTCAATGCCTGATACATACTAAGCACTTGATAAATGTCCCTCAAAACAAGAAAAGTTTTAAACGTCAGACTCTAGGCTCTTTCTGAGGTGGAATAGCAATCCTACTTCCAGTAAATAAAACTCACACAGATTAGCTTTATCATACCTCATCTAGGCTAAAGGATCAGGTGATTTAAGCTCAGTAGTACAAAAGCACTGTCTGAGCAAGTACTCAGTCCTTGGTTAGAGCCCCGGCACCAGAAAATCAACCAACCGACCAAACAACAACAATAATAAATCTTGCGAACTCTTGTTACAACCATATCTTGCTAACTGAGCCACGTTCCAGATACCAAATCAAACCAAAAGCACCAAACTAAACCACACACAGCACACATAACATGCTTAAATTTGATCATTAGAGTGGTTGTTTGAAGAGAGGTAGGGAAGGGTACATTATCTTTTTAGTTGAAAATACAACCACAGGTAGGAAATGGATGAAAATTTCAATTTCTGTAAAGAGTGTATCACTTAAAAGGAAAGAAATAAAATCAAATGAATAGACAATTTTTTAAGCGCTCGGATCCTTGCAAGCTGTTGGGTACAGAGTTGGATCTCTAGACCCATAGCAAGGGTGTTTACTCTGGGAAGCTCAACTCCCAATATTGATTTTTAGGAAGTACATTAATAAAGAACCCCTAATTGATTTTTTTAAGCCTTTGCTTGTTGCCTTTTATTTGAAGGTGCAAAGAAGGGCCTGGGATGCCAAAGTGTTCTAATGAGATGCTTAGCTAACAGGCACCTTAAATGCAGTGTCTTGGAGTGGGGGAGGCAGCAGGCACAGTTAATGACTTCATTTAACAGTGAAGCTAGTGATGATCAATGCCATGCTGCCCCTACGTAGAGTTTTGAAAATTCACCTTCAAAACATGTTTGTGTCAAACACTTGGTGATGTGAAGAGCATGGAGTTGCTTTGCTGAAGGAGAGCTGGGGTGCAAACCCATGGCTGCTCATACTTCAGCTTCTGATAAACCCAAACCAAAACCTCAAAACAGCCCTGCGTAAGTGCACAGCACATACCTGCCCAAAGTGGACTGTGATTGGTCTCCGGTCTTCTCGAAGTCTGGGGTCCTTGGCCTCTGCCAGTGGGGATGGCACGGTCTTTGGCAGTGGCTCTTCTGCAGAGGAGGCACAGCCATTCTCAGCGATGTCCTGCAGGGAGAAGGAAGGTCTGGGGTTGGCACTGTGGTCCCAGCTCTTTGTCCTGTCACCTCATCCCCACAAGCCAGGAGGCTTGCTAAGAACTCTCTCCAGGCTTTCTAAGGCTGATTTCAGGGAGAGGTGGAGGAAATAGAAGCTAACTTGGCCTTCTGACATTGATGCACCAAAAAAGCCAAAACCATTTACACAAAACTAAACATAATAATTCACAGTGGTGAAAAAAGCCTATTTCATTCTACATTCTTCTATGACTATTTTCATTTTCACATGTTCACTTTGTCTATATGTAGACATTTAAAATTACTTGTAATCACAGCTCATGCATAATTTTATATCTAGTTTTTTTCTCCAATATAAGTATCACCATGGTGCTACATAGTCATTATAATAATTTCAATGGATACATAATATTTTCATTGAGCAAATCTAATAACTCATCCCATAACTATTGGGTGTTTGTTTTTTATTTCTCCTTTCTAAATGCTAGCAAAAAATTTTTCTTTCCTTTTGTATTATTGCTTCTGTGGAAATCCCCAGGAATGAAGGCATGAGGTCAAACATATAAACACTTTTTAAGGCTTTTTATTCATTCTACCAAATTGCTTTCCAATTGACACCAACTCCCCGTAATGGGGCGCTATCGGTTTCACAGTACTTGTTAGCCTTATCATTTAAAAATGTACTGCTAATTTAATAGGTGAAAAATTTAGACCTCATTGTTGTTTCAATTTGCATTACTTTGATTATTTGCGACTGTCTGCTTACTGATGGTGCTACCAATCACATTCATGACTTCTCCCTTCTCCTCGTGTTTCTGGAAGGACCTATGGGTCTCTCTGACCTGCAGAGTTGCTACAGGATGAAGGAAAGCTTTAAAAACCTAAACATTTACATTTTATTTGTGTATCTGGGAAATGAAGTCAAATGGTCAGGTAAGAAAACTCCCCATGTGCAAAGGGTCAGCCATGACTTCTTTGGCTGTGGCAGTCAGGGAGCACTGGTGTGAGCTAGTCAAAACATGGATGTGTCTCTTTCTGCTATAAGCATTATGTGTTTTATTGAGGACAAGAAAGTTAGTTAGGACAAGTCAGAGAATAAAGGTACAAATAAATAATTTAAATAATCATTTTTTCACCATATAAAAATAACAATAAACAACATCCAATTCTTTCAATTGTAGAAAAAATTGTACACTTTGGTCAGCAGATTATTCCTCAAATTCTGCATGTAAGAGATCATTGGCCACTTTCTCAACTGAATCGAGAGAATTGTGAAACAGAGGGAAAGTGGTTACTTAGGATAATTATGTTTTAAGGAGGAAACAAAGGTAAACCTCTGAACCTCAGTTTCTCTATCTGTAAATGGGTATATGGGAGCCAGGGATGAAAGGAGATAGGTAATATAACGTAAATGCCTAGAACTTTATTAGCTACCCAATAAACTATTTATTGGAAGGAAACAGATAGCTTCTATACACGTGTGTATACAGGTGTGTGTGTGCATGTATAGTGTTATACATCAACTACCAACCTCCTGGCTTCCTTTCCTAAGAAATTAGCTGCTATTCAGTCAGTCCAGAAGAGTCTCTGCTTGGCCAGAAATACAGGAAGGTGATGACCTTTTGGCCTTTCAAACAGGGCTTGCGTTATGTGGCCCGCACTGGATTGGCCAGTCTCAGCTAAGCTAAGGCTCAGTGATGAAAGGGACTACCGACAGCCAATTAGAAATGGGTTGTTTGGAAAGGGGCTGCCCTAAGGTGCCTGGGTCAAATGGAACAAAGTAAGGAGGGGGTGGGGGTGTCTTTCCATGTCAGAGAGCAACAAAAGGGCAAAAGGGGCATTTCAGTTATGTGTGGGTGCATCTAGAGGATTAACACAGGGCGAATGAGGCCAAGCTGTAACAGGAAAATACCTTTTTGGTCCAGGAAAATACTCCTATACCATGTGTGCCTCTGTGTGTGTGTGTGTGTGTGTGTGTGTGTGTGTGTGTGTGTGTGTGTGTGTGTCGCGTGCACACACTTGGCTGAAAAAAATGGAGCTACAAGGTAACACGGTAGGAAAATATATTAACTAGGAAACTATAAAATACTTATTTAAAAGAAAACATGACAGTTTTGGGGAAAGTGTCTTAGTTGAAGCTTTAAGTAAAGACTGCTGTCTTCTAGCTGTATCTGCTCCATCAACCAGCTTCCCCAATCTCTCAGATTCAACCTCTGCAATGGTTTCTGCTTTGACAACAGGGAGATTCCCAGTTGTTCGGCAGAGGGCTCCGGAGAATGGTTTAAATGAGATGAGCTATGAGGAGCCTTTGAGAGACCACAATGCAAAGGACACAATGCTTCCCTGTGTGGGGCACCTAACGCTGGTAGCTACCTTTCCAGACTATTGGCTTCCATTCTCACACTTCATTCTCACGATGATTATGAAGTAAACAGGATTATCTTTTCTTTATGATGAAGCAATAGGATTCAGACAGGGGAACCTATTCAAGATCACAGAGCTACAAAGAGGAGGAACCTAAAATACAGACTTCTGACATTTAAATCCTATCTATTTATAACAACAGCTCAAGTATCTTGGACCTGAGGAGGCATATGTGATGCTGGGCCATCAAAAATGACTTCCTCTTGCTCCTTGGCAGTCCTTCTGGCTAAACTGGTCACAGGCTGCCATGTCCTATGCCATCCACTGTGCTGCTCTCCAGACTGTGAGTTCCTTGGGATCTGAGTTTTCTTGAGTCTAGCACAGCTCTCCCATAAGTCTCTGTTAAGTTGAGCTAGCATTTGGAAGGTAAATGTGCCTTCATGTCTGAAAGTCACATTTTGTTTAGTTAGAACATCCAGAGATGCCCGAGTTCCTGTACTTTCTCATGGCTCCCCATTGAGCTTTTAGCTTCTTCACTATTTCTTCCCTGTGGGGAAGGACAGGGAGCAGAGGGAGGGAGGAGCAGGGGTCAAGAGAGCAATGAGAACAGTGCACATCCTCTTTTCCATCTAACAGCGGACATACTGTATGAGTAGTAGCCAACAGAGCAACTCTGAACTGCTTGATTAAAGAAACTGTGGCCCAAGAACTAACTGACATCAGCTAAGGGACTGGGATATGGGTACCCTGATACCTTCCTGAGAGGAACACTAATTGGAAGTTTACAAAAAAATACTTTGAGATGTGAGTGCCCTGTGGACCACTAATTCCATTTGTAGAAGTGTTTTCAAATGAAGAAACCTAGAAGTAACTCAGGTATCCAATAACAGCATTGATTAAGTGTGTGTGTGTGTGTGTGTGTGTGTGTGTGTGTGTGTGTGTATACAATGTGTATGCATGTGTGTAGTATGTGTGTATACATGTGTGCATGTATATGTGTGTATGCGTGTGTATGTGTAGTACGTGTGTATATATGCCCACCCAATAAAATGTATGAGCTACTTAAAACAAGGACACATGGAGGAGTCATTTTTAGAAGGCGGGGACATGTTCAGTGCACATCACAAGAAAATGCAGTTGGAAGGGACGTTATTTCTCTCCTGACCTGCTGAATTCCCAAAAACTACGCATTTTGTTGGTTGGCAAATGGAAAACAAAAAGTTGACTTTTGGGGTTGGGGATTTAGCTTAGTGGTAGAGCGCTTGCCTAGCAAGCGCAAGGCCCTGGGTTCGGTCCTCAGCTCTGGAAAACAAAACAAAACAAAACAAACAAACAAACAAAAAAACTTGACCTTCTAAATGTCATTTTTAAAAAGGGGAACAAGGGGATATAAGAGGGGTGGGCCAACTCCTTCCTGCAGGGTCCCACAGGAGGAAGAGAGAGCTACAACTCAAGGGGCTGCCACAGGGAAGCAAATTCTGTCCAGGAGCCTCAAGGCTAAGAGCAGGGAGTGCTCCACCAAGCCCCATCGCTAGGCAGAGCAAAATTCTATTTCTGTCTCCTTCCCAGAGCTCCTAGGAAAAAAAGAATCCTGACAGCTTCCCTCTACCTCTCTGTGGAGAAGACAGGAATAGCACATGATGCTCCTCTGTGGATGAGCATCAGTGAATAGGCAGCGGCATGAAGCCAGGGTCTGGTGAGCAGGGGGAACAAAGTGCTATTAAGGCCTTCGGAGGAGCTGGGACAGGCTTCCTGAGGCAGAGGAGCAAGGCCAGGCCAGGCATTCACACCTGGAGTTGGAAGTAGGGCCCAGCACTCGCAGAACGGCTAGAGCACCCCTCTCTTTGCTGGGCAGGCTGAGGCTGGCAAGGACAGGGTGGCCTCAACCAAGGGAATATAGCTGTGTCAGAGTCATGTTCTGGAAAGATTCCTCTTGTGGCTGTGTGAGCAATTTAAAGGGAGGTGGTCCCATGGCAGCCATTTCTCAGTGTGTGTACACATCTCTGTTTGGGCAGACTATCTGTTCTAGGAATGAACAAAGAAATGGAGAGGACACATTCTCATTTATGGAGCTGTTACTAAGTTCTCCTGTTAACACATCACCTCTTCTAAGACAGTTAATGGGTGAGGAAAACAGAGAGGGCTGGTAACTCCCACCCTACACAACCATACTGAATCTTCTGGTTGGCCTCAGAAGCCCAAATGCCATATCCCCATGGGGTGGGGTGTGTATGGCCAAGGCCAGAGCCTTCTCCTTTCCTTTTTGAGATTTGTGTTGTACTTGTCTTTTCCAGTCTACTTCCCACAACAGCAAATGTAAATTAAAATATGAATATTGATATCAAACTAGTAGCCAAAATTGGAGTTGCAGTGATTGAGGTTGCAGCATATTTTAAAGTGTCTAAAGACAGGGAGCTGACAGTTGTGTGATAAGGTGTGAAAATGTCTGTTCTGTAAGAGTCTACCTGTTCTCCCCACCCCCACAGGCTTGCTCATGCCCTTCACTGCACTTGCAAGTGTTTGGCTAGAAACTCAAGCCAACTGTGGGTGTGCTCTTTTAAGTCACAGAGATACTAAGCACGCTCAATTTGTCACTTAAAGAACAGAGAAACTTTCCAAATGGCTATGAAATGGGCCCATTTGGCTAAAGTATTCTGATACTAAAGAAAAAAAAATTCAGGAATTCCTTAAGGGCACACAATGACATCCTTCTGTGTGTGTCTTAGCGCTCCCTACAGGTGAAGAGGGAGCGTGTGCAGCCACTGGATTTAAGGTGGCACTCTCTGGACAGCCTGGACCAGGGAAGCAGAATGCAACTTGTTGATGTCCTTCCACAGTCAGGCCTGGTGAGGACATACGCCCAGGGAAGTGCCACTGTCCCCTTAGGAAGCCATGCTATTTCTTCTTCCTATCTCTGAGCAGGCTGGACTTCAAAGGAGGCCAGGCTACAGCAGAACTTGGCCACTTTGTTCCATTTATCCAGAGAAATATGTTCTCCATCTTTCTTTTTTGTCCCTGAGCTGAAGCAGAGCAGATGTGGAATAAAGCAACACTATAGGATCTATGAACAATCACTTGCCAGTGGTCACAGATATCCTGAAAGCTATTTCAGAGGCTTTGAAAAATCTATAGCACAAATGAACAAGGGATGGGAAAGGGCCCTGCTCAGCTGCATTAGAGATGGACCCTCCACACACCGTGGTGACCTCTCCTCAGGTCGGCCTCACATTCTCTATTTGCAATTCAAACCCAAGGCAAGAGCAAAGAGGGCAAGCCTGGGTTCTTGATTATATGTGTGAGGTCACCATTGCTATGCAGAGTTAGAGGGCCAGGTGGCAACCCAGTACATTGGAAAATTGGGTCTTTGCTGGCAACTGCCTCAATTTCATAGCAGAAACCAAACTTGTGATATCTGTGTCAAGTGCATCAAGGGAGTCATAGAGACAGGTTCCATGTAGCATGGAGGGGTGGGTGGAAGGGGGAGAAAAAAGCCAAGGAAATACTTTCCACTACAGTGAGATAGGTCAGGGGAAGCCAGATCCTAAATTAGCTCAAGAAAAAGAGCTAGAGATCACCAGAGACCAAGGGCCTATATATACTGAACAATGCTGGGGTTTCAATTACAAACCAGCTCTTCCAAGAACAACTGCAAAATATCAAGTCTGTGGAAACCTGTAAGAGCGAAGGGGGAAAAGTGAAAATTGAAAAGGGTGCACTAATAGATCTGTCAACAGCCCAATGGTGACAAGCCACATTTCTATTAAATGCCTTTACCATTTGTGTCACCTGAGATGCACTGACACTGTCTATAGAACATTATCTCCTGAAGCTATTCTTGAAAAGACTGGTGTGGGCTGGGGAGAGTGGACAGGGAAAAAATCGGTTTTAGATTCTACGAAGGAAGGGAAAGGTGGAGTGTGTGGAAGGAACACGATCTAGATTGTGTAAATGAACCTTTGGGCAAACACATGAAAAAAGCTGGGCTTTGCTGGCTGCTGCAGAAAGACGTGAGTAGTGGGAAAAGGCTCGAAGGGCAGTCCCTGGCTCCGTGGTCAGCAGAAGCAATGAGACCCATGAAGCCATTTGTCTGGCGCCTGAGGAGGGATCCGTCTTTGCTTATTTCAGGCAGTATACTAACCAACCACAGCCTACAATCTAGACACTGGGGAGGGAAAAGCTCCCTCCTGGACACATCCAATGCAGGCCCACAAGACTGGGACAGGAGATGAAAAGGTATGATTAGTGACTCAAATAACATCTAGCTAAAGAATCCCACTTGCCAGTGTCTGCCAGGGTGAACAGACTGGCATGGGGGCTGCGTGGATTTGTGTCATAGGGTTTGTGTCACAGGATGTTAAGAATTCACTGTCAGCTGAAGCTAGGAATTTTAAATGCTTAGTCAGAGCAAATTATTTTCCAATTAAAAGAAAAGAATCAATTCTTTCGACCCATTTCAAATTAATGAGGATTTTTCTGACTTCATAAAGTTGAAACCACTTTCAATTAAAAAAAACAACAAATTGCCAAGACAGTGGCACATTTAGGGGTGTGGGGAAAATGATCCCAGACATCTTTTGTAAAAGAAAACACTTGTTTGGGAAAGCAGTGAGCATCAGAGAATGGAAGTGTTCTGACAGTGGAGGTCAACAGATCTGAAATCTAATCCTGTTTCTGCTAGGCTCACACACTGTGGCCTTGGCAATTATTTCACTCACAGCTTTGTTCTATGGATTTGGGGTGACAGCTCCTAGTCTGGCCCACCTTTAACAAAGAGTGGCAATCACAGTATTGGAGGCCATGTTGTGATTGTGTAAAAAAACGCCCCCTGCTCTGGTCACCTTGCTGTACTCCCCATGGACTCAGGTTGGGGAAATCTTAGCCACAGTGACTTCATATAATTTTTCTGATGAACCACAGAGCCTCTGTTTGCTTGCATATGCCTTAAACATAGGCTAGGCTGCTTTCACTCAGTGCTATGTGGTGGGAGACCCACGGCATTCTCTTCCTATTCACTCTTTGTGTTTGCGTAGGAACCACGTGTGTGCCAGAACCAGAGGGGTCCTTTCTCTGGACATGCATTTTGCTTTAAGTTATGACCAGTCCTAGGGCAGAAGGGGGTGGTGGGGAGGACACCTGCAAGCCCCAGGCCTGGTAGGGCAGGGCAGAGGACAGTGGTAACTCTGAACTCAACTGCCTTTGTGGGTTTAAGCCCACAAAGAATTTTAATGTTATTTAAAGACAGTTTTTTGTCTGTGAATATTTATAATGGTGTGAAACTCCCGGACAGCTGGTAATGCATTTTGAAGTGTGCTAACAACACTGTATCAAACAGCCCTCTATTGATCACATCCTACTTTTTTGTGGCCACGCATTTCATACATGGTGCTTATACATTTTGAATAAGAACTTCAAGTACCTTTTGCTTCAAGCGGTTTTTCACCTCTTTTATTCCCATTTTTGCATGATCTTTTGCCTGCATGAAAAATTAATTTAAGTTAAGATTCCCTTTCTGTTTCCAGCAGGGTCTATGCTTGATTTCAGTCCACCATGAATCACCTTCTCTGATTACTAGAAAAAGGAAGGAAAAATGGGATCATCAAGTTGAAAATACAATGGCTGTGAAAACAAATACAAAGGTAAAAGGTTAAAAAAAAATCCCTTAAAGGGGCTGCAGAGATTCCATTTTTGCATTTTGATGGCAGAGACTTTTTTCTTCTTTTCCTTCCCAGGCCTTTCTTCTGCTCTTTATAATTATTTACCTTGGCAGCATGGTGACAGCTACCACTAAAAGAACAGCAGCTCTACCAGCCACAGGACTCAGAGCACCCACGATACCTCACCAGGGCAGGGCCTCAGGATCAATCTCCTCTCCAGGTTGAAGGGTTGAAACTCGACACAACTGCCAGGTTTTTATAGTGTCAGTTCCTAAATTTCATTTTGGTGGACACTCTGGCTTCTACTTTCTGCCAGTTCTGACCTGTGTGTCTTTGCTGGTAGCTACCTGTCCATTATAGTAGCCACTCTAAGCAGAGGAAACACTAACACAATTCAAAATGACAATAAAACAAAGCCCCCCCCCCCTGCTTGTGGCTCAGGGTCAAATGATCAAGGAGGAAAAAGCACAAGAACAAGCACTCGAGGCTTGTGAGGGATGGAGTGCCAGGGCTGACGGGTCTGCTCTCACTCTGTGTGGATCTGAGTCTCACATGCACTTCCTATAGGGCAGAGTCAAGAGAGAGCATGACGAATTCAGGACAGAACTGAGGGTGGTCTTCCCACCATGCACACAGTCGTGGTTATAAACAGAGGTCCTCCCCAACCCTCTGGCCTCCACACTCCCTGTATATAACTATACTTGTAACCCGACATGGGGAGGTTAGAAATGAGGGGGTGGTCTTCCCACCATGCACATAGTCATGATCATAAAACAGCAAAAAGCCAAGCAATTCTCAGAACATTGAGACTGCTAAGAAATGGCATGGCCACCCTTTGGTCACTTCTGCAATCTAGGCATTGATACACTTAAGAGCCAGGTTGTGTTGGGCGTAGTGGCACATGTCTCTAATCCCAGCACTTGGGAGGCAGAGACAGGAAGATCTCTGAGTCTGAGGCCAGTCTGGTCTACAGAGTGAGTTCTAGGACAGTCAGAGCTATATAGAAAAACCCTGTCTTGAAAAACACAAACAAACCAAAACCAACCAAACAAAAAAGAGTCAGACTGAATGAAAGAACCTATCCATGGCTTCCAGACTGCCACCAGTACTTACAAACTTGTAGACAGTCTTCATGGCTGGGTTAGCTTTTGTTTTTACAGTATTCAGAATTGCTCCACTTCCTTTCTGTAATAAAAATGTCAATCAGTGATGTGGGCTGGAAGGAGAGTGGGCCAGCACCAACAAAGAGTGTTTCTCTTTAATTGAGCCAGGCAACATTTCCAGAGTGTGTGAGAAGTAGGCCCAGGTGGTCACTGGTTGGGGTTAGGGCTATGGCAGACGTGTGTGTGTGCATGTATGGGAACTGGAGAAGCATGTGATAACCAGTCAAGGGGAGACAGTAGGTTATATGTTCTGCCCCTGTCCAGGCTATTTCAGGCAAGGGTCTCCTTATGGTTGCCAGTAGCTCTTTAAAGAATTTCTAGTTACCATAGATAGTGTTCAGTCATATATCATAACTGAATTATGTAGCTAACTTCAAGCTAGGGAAGAAAACAGGGTTCTGATCAACCAGGACCCCCTGGCAATATGATTCATCCCTTTCCTTGGGGAGTATGGGAGGACTCTATGGAGGAAGGTTTTCTACTGCTTAGGAGGCAGCTAAGTGAACTCAAGTGCACAGTCCGTTTCTAACTGCGCCCTGGGCAGCATGTTCTAAGGCTGTAAGGGCCCTGAGCCCAGGGAGGTCTATTTGAAGACCACCAGGCTCTGTGTGTGGGTGAGAGACATACCAGGGTTCAAATGACATCTGGATGGTGGCAGCTGCACTGGAAGTTTGGAGACCAGAAGACTGGGGAGGTCTTCAGAGCAGAAAACATTTGACCTGGGCCATGGAGGATGAGTGGAGGTTGATGTGGAACATAGTCGAAATGAATATGCGTGGGGGTAGCAAAAGGAGTACAGAGCTGGGAGCTATGGGTGTACTCTGGGAGGGCAAGGGGTTCTTGACTTGTGGTGGAAATGGGGCTGGGGGGCCAGATGGGGTGGCTTGCACAGAGCCTGGAATGCCGAGCACAGTGTTTATGCTCTGGAGGACTTTTAATCAAATGTGTCACATAGTAGATGATACTAATTATTGACTTTAACTTTTAGCACAACTTTTGGTAACTGCTTGCCTTAAAGATTTTGAGTTTTAGTGAAAAACATTACAGTTTGACCTATAAATCATTCTGTGTTGTAGGACAATAGAAAATTTTCACCCACTCATCTATTCCATGCTGCCTTCCAAAATTACTCAGAACTTTGTTTAAAGGGTCCTTTGGAGTACTGAAACTCCCTTTATCAATCAATCAACAGGTCCTTATTGCTTGCCTCTGATGTGCCAAGTGCTGTGTTTGGCCATCCAGGAACAAAGGCTGTCTTTCATGGGGGAGCTGCTTACTCTGGCCAACTGCAGCCACTTCCACAGGCCCTGCCTTGGCAGCAGCTGCGGTTGGCCCTGGAGCAGGAGAGAACACTTATCACATTATGCTGGAGTTGCCTGTTTACGTGCCTGCCTCCCTAACAAGGTAGGGAGCTCCCCCAGGGCAGTACCTGCCCCGCTTTGGATTCCCAGAGGCTAGCTGTGCCCGGCACACAGTAGGCCTTGAGTACATACTCAATTAGAAAGTCATGGAAAAGTCAGGTAAAATTTGACTTCTTTAGAGGCCATAGGAGCTCCAAGCACCTGGTTCCCAATTCAGCAAGACATTGTTCACAATAGCAGTAAGGGGGTGAAGAAAAGTCTCCCAGGGATGCTTTTCTATTTTCCCAGGAGCCCTTGCTGTGGAAGACACTGCAGGGAGGGCACATCTTTGGCTTCCCTGTGGTCATGACAACTGCCTGGCCATGGAAAGAAATGTTCTAGAACAATACTTCACTCCGTGGGCCTTGGCTGGCCTGAAGAGGAGGGCAACCTGTCCTGCCTCCTTTTCTCCCATTAAGGGAGAATGTCTCCTTCCAGTCTCTTCCATAGGATGGTGGTCTGGCATTAAGACAACAGTATCTTCAGTTGAGAGAATGGCATACCCTGCATCCTGAGGCAGCTTTGAAGGCGGCCAAGGAGCAGAGGGCTACCAGGAGGCCACAGAGGACAGCAGGTGGCTCTGAATGGGACATACTTACCCGGACTGTGGACAGCCACTGATGATACAGCTTATCACTGCCTAGAGGAAGAGGAGTGAGAGAGGCCATCGTTTACAGACATCTTCACATTGTACAGACTGAAATCTCACAATCTAGGAAAGGCAAGGAGGCCTCTGCGTCCCACTCTGCAGCATGTGGCAGTGAGTCAGACCACAGGTTTTCATTCTCAGGGAGTTCTTTGTACCGGTGTCCACAGAGCAAAGCTCCTGCCTCTCCATCCCATGCTTCCATTGTCACAGCCTTGCACTCTGACCGAGAGGAACTACCATCCCCTGCCATCTGTGCCAGAGTGAACTGAAAGGCAGCTAAAGGGTCACATCCTCTGGAGCTCCTTTCTCTTCTTTCCTCAATCTATCCATCTATCTATTTTGAGAAAGAGTGTCATGTAGTTCATGTTGGCCTCCAGCTTTCTATGTCACCTGAGATGACCTTGAACTTCTGATCCTCCTGGCATAATGCAAGGTTGTGTGGCATTGAGGCTTGAATCCAGGACACTATGCATGCTAGGTAAGCACTCTGTCTTACTTAGCCTTCTTCCTCCCTTTGAACAGCCCTCTAGCTCAGGTCACATCCATATTCTTTGATGCACCATGAGTCTCCAGAGCTGAGTATCACAGTGTAGGAACCCTGCTGGACATTTGCCTGGTGACATGTTTTGTGGGTGAGTCCTGTTCAGTGCATCTTGAGGGCCAAGGAGGTCTCAGCAGGAGACTTTTCAGCAATATACAGAGTCCATCTTCTCCCAGAACCCCTTTCCCACAGTGCTCCTTCTGTAAGCTCGTGAATGGTGCAGTGAGAGTCAACAGAGTGCTATTCCAACCACACATAACTCAGTCTCTCCTTCCTGCACTGGCTTAATTTGTGCGTCTCTTTCCCTGAGGAACAAAGCTAGTGCTCACATTGTTTACCCAGCTTGGGGCATGTGTGGTGGTATTGTTTTCCCCAAAATATTGTGTACCTTAATAAACTTATCTGGGGTCAGAGAACAGAAAAGCCACAAGATACTTAGGCTAGAAAATGTTAGCACACGCCTTTAATCCTAGCATTCCAGAGACAGAAATCCCTCTGGATCTCTGTGAGTTCAAGGCCGCATTGGAAACAGCCAGGCATGGTGACTCACGCCTTTAATCCCAGAAAGCAGCCTTTAATCCCAGGGAGTGGTGGTAGAAAGCAGAAAGGTTTATAAGGCGTGAGGACCAGAAACTGGAAGCATTTGGCTGGTTAAGCGTTCAGGCTTTTGAGCAGCAGTTCAGCTGAGAGCCATTGGGATGAGGACACAGAAGCTTCCAGTCTGAGGAAACAAGACCAACTGAGGAACTGGCAAGGTGAGATAGCTGTGGCTTGTTCTGTCTCTCTGATCTACCAGCATTCACCCCAATACCTGCCTCGGGTTTGATTTTATTAATAAGACTCTCTAAGATTCCTGCTACAGGTATGGTATTCAGGGACTGCTTGTCAACAGTCTGCCATGACTGTCCAGAGACTTGGTAGAGAGACTTGCTTTAACAATTGTGGTGTAGGCTGGGTGGGTCTGTAGTATCAGCAAGTAGATATGAAGTTGCCTCTGTGAGCTTGTGCCTGCTGTCCAGGTCATCAGCACAACCCAGACTGGACAGGCTCAGGAGTAACATGGTATCATTATTTTGATTCCAAAGACAGAAACTACATGTACTATCATCTCTGCCATCAAAGACTGAACCAGTCAGTGGTATATGGGAGGAAGCCAGACTGGAACTCAGGAAGTGCTCATTACTGACACCTCTCTGCACCCCAGATGCTGAGAGAGAGAGAGGAGAGAGAGGAGAGAGAGGAGAGAGAGGAGAGAGAGAGAGAGAGAGAGAGAGAGAGAGAGAGAGAGAGAGAGAGAGAGAGAGAGAGAGAGAGAGAGAGAGGATGATCCCTCTGAGACCGGCCACCAAGCAACAATGCTCACATTTTATTCATTTGTCTGAGAAAGGATCTCACTGTATTGCCCAGGCTGGTCCCAACTACTCCTGGGCTCAAGTGATCCCTTCTCAGCCTCCCAGTGGCTGGGACTACATATCATTGTGCATGGCTTGATGGTGCTCACATTACACAGAAACGTGTTGAGCACTGACCCTATAGTAAGGACTGTTTTGGGGTACTATGCAACATTCTGAATGACTCGCTTCCTTCTGTGAGGTAGTCTGTGGCACTGCCAGTGCACAAGTGGTAGAACATTGGCTGGAAAAGGGACATGAGTTGGCCCAGGCGCCACAGCTAGCAATGAGGCAGGGGCCCCATTTGAGTTCAGCTCCCTACTTCAGAACCTGGTAAGTGTCCCTTGTATCATGCTGGCCATGACACTCTGCCAGACTTTTCTACCCAGGGGAAGTAAGTACTCTGGGGTCAGAGGCTTCACATGGGCCAAACTACATGCATCCTGTCACAAAACAATGAGGAATTTCCCAACTTCCTCTTCTACAAGGTTGAAGGCAGTTTCCCCCTTCCCTCTCACAAAAAGAAAAAAAGCCCATCTGTGTCAGGAATGCCATGGGCAGCATTTTACCGGCATACTCGCCCATGTTGATCTCCTCCTCAAAGACATCACTGAAACCTTCGCCGGAATTGAGAAGGTCTAGTCGGCCATCAATAAACTGGAAAGAAAAAAAGCAAGCATACCATAGCTTGTCTGTAAACAAGGGAGCCATCCAATTGGGCAAAGCTGTTCAAGATGGGAAAGACCCTTTGAAAACCACAAGTCTCTTAAACATGCTGATTGTGTGTTTCTAACTCAGAAAACTGCAAGCCAACCTGTCTGTCACCTGATGCCTCTTTTACTGCCCCCCACCCCAACCCCACGCCGAGTCCTTTCCAGGCCCATCTCCTCCCTTCTCTCATTCTTAGTGCCTAAGGTGGAGACAGATGCAGAAATGCCTACTAGAGGCCTGGCACAGGCTCTGAGAGAGGCTGGGCACCTGTTTGAAGAGCTGCAACTGTGTGGCATTCTGAAGGAACTGCCTCATGGCTCCAGAGCGGTAGTGGGACACGAAGGCTTCCTCACTGAAGGTGATGGGTTCTTCCTGGGAAATGGAGAAGGAACATGATGGTAAGAGACAGGCCCCTCCCTTCTGCAGGTTTCCACTGCCTATGCCTTTACACTGTACTAAAGAAGCCATGATTATCACCAGTCATTCTAGATGATGGCTGAGGACGCTGTTTCAGGGAGGAAGAATCATACCCCAAGTCAGAGAGGATAGGAGGCAGGGCTGACAGCCAAGATCAGCTGTGCAGCTCTACTCACCACCCCCTTCCCTATTACTGATGATCACAACCTGTACCAAGCTAGTACTGTGCCTGTCAGTGTGATAATTTCCAAACTTTTCCTTCAATGTTTAGGGTGGAACCTCAGTCAGCACCTTGTGTTGAAGGGGTCCTGAAAAGGCAGAGCTGAACCTTTCAGAGCTGGGTAAGGGTGGCACTGGGCATGGAGGTGCTTGGTGGCCTTTTCTCAGGTACCAACTACAGAAAATAGTTTTAAACTCATTTACAAATGATTATTATTTTTGTTGTTCTTGTTTTTTGTTTTTTGAGATAGTTTCTCTGTGTAGCCCTGGTTGTATGGGAACTCACTCTGTAGACCAGGCTGGCCTTGAACTCTTGAGACCCACCTGCCTCTGCCTCCTAGTGCTGGGACTAAAGGTGTGCGCCACTGCTGCCAGGCTGGTTTTTGTTGTTGTCTTTTTTTCCCAGACAGGGTCTTGCTATGCAGTTCAGGCTGGTCTTCAACTTGTGAGCCTCCTCCCTCAACTTTCTAAATGTTGGGATTTCAGGTGTGTACCGCCATGCCTAGCCCACACTAACTTGACCTATAGCAAGTTATGATTTACATAATACTGGCTGATCAAAAATAAAACTGCCACCTGCAAAAGTTTGTGTTTAAGCTATTTGATGAGTAAGTTTTTGTCTACAAACTACATTTTGAGTCAAGAAAATGATGCCCTAAGTTTTAAAACAAACAAACAAACAAACCACCCAGCCTTGTATAGTCAACACCTCACTCTCTTTGAACTCCTTTTCAGCACTTGTCTGTGCAGACATGTCTTTAATTTTGGTTTGCATTTCTGGTTCTGAAAGATCGCACTTTTACATCTCAAGCTGTGATAGGGCACTCCCTCCTTTCACGGACTTGGTGGCAACCACAAAGATGTTTGAAGCTCTGCTTTTATCCTGTTTTAATGAGTTACGTGTTAAATTTACTGTCTGGCTCCTGTAAGTTCCAAGAATTCCTTTTGCTTCAATCTAGCCAATATTAACTCAGATACTGGGCAGCCTCACTGCTCAGGCTGCAAGGATGGCCCGGAAATGTGAGAATGGGAAAATGCATTTTTCTATAGTTAAACCCTCCCTTATTTCACAAAGGATTTGAGGCACTCTGTGCGAGCACCCAAGACAACAAATAAGAAAAATGATTGCTGAGAGGCACACATAGTGAAATGATTAAGAAACAGTTCTGGACGTGCTGCTTCTCAGTTTCTGAACTTAAGTCACAGAATTATTAAGGAGCTTCCTGGTGGCTGAGGCAGGGCACGAACTGCAAACTGTGTGGCACACTAGAGGAATAAGCCACTAGTCCCTGGGGAAGGAGCTGTAGCTGCTCATGTCACTTTGGCATGGATTGCTCCTTTCCTCTATCAAACCAAGTTCAGGTAGAACTCCATCCTCTGCAAGTCTTTCTCCTTGCTGTTGGGGCCACATGTGCTCTAGGATTTTACACACACTAACAACTTCTGACACATACCACCAGCCCAGAACCTCACTAGCCCTCTAACGCCTGTCGATCCACATCACGCACTCATTCTCACTACCTGCTCTCAGTTATGGACCCACATCTCCATTCAAATCAGTGTCTCCCTTTTTTGGTTGTCAGAGCCTCACTGATCCACAGCTGACCTGCCAGACTTCCAATGTCCTTCCTGTCCAGCCTGGGAGGAATTGTACACATTCAGTCACTGCTTACCACCCATGACCTTGGCATAGGCCCAGACTGCTGTGGTGGGGGTTTGCCTCCAAGCTCTGTCCCATCTCATTCATTCTGGTTCCTATCAATTCTGCCCAAAGTTCAATCACATCAGCATCCTACTCAGGAGTCCAGCTGCCCAGGTGCTGCCTTTATGTGATGACTGGATTTGTGTCCTTTCTACTGTGTTTCCTATGAGCAGATACACTTATTTGCATAACTTTGCACACCACATATGTGTGACACATACCAGGGTCTCCTGGGAGATGAAGGAAACTCCTTGGCTAGGTGAGTAGCCCTTTTGGACAGTTCTTCTGTGTCCCTTTGTGTCTGCTCCTCCACACCTTCTGGTCACATGCTGTGTTGTCCATAGCTGTCCTTGCTTTCTTTTCTTTCTCTCTGACTCAGGCCTGGGTGTGGCAACCATTCACCCTTGCTTGGTGCTACCAGATACCATTACCCTGGGCGTTAGAATAGTCTTTCCCAGAGTCGTCTTTGACAAGGAGCCTGTGAAGGCAAGTCTCTGCTGAACATATTTCCACATTCCCTGGGGACAGTGTAGAGCCTGGGCCCTAGTTACAAGTGCAGGGATGTGAGTTACACAATCACAAAATGAGCTCAACCTTGGTTCCTGCCGCAGGACCTGAGGCCTTGGTGTGGCACAGACCCTGTTGTGCCTTGGTAAAGAAGTCTAGGATACCATTCGGGGTGGGTGATTCTTATGATCAGAGTGGAGGGTGTTAAAAGAGTTGCTCAGATGAGCTGTCCACTTGTACCTGGAGCCTTGGCCCAGCATCACCAGGAGGATGCCTGATTAGAGTGATAAATTCAAGAAAGGTTGCAATTGAATTTATATGTGAGGCTAGCCCACAGCAGAGTTTAGCTACAGGAGAGCAGGGAGAGTCTCATCTTCCAGGAGACAGGAATATTTTGGGTTTCTTGTCCACTCACTGGTAGTGATATCCCCCAGGATCAGAGGCCATAAAAACTGACAAAAGGCCACAGGCATGGATGGGAAACCCACAGGGAAATGTGGCAATGAGGGCTTTTTTTTTTTCCTGAAAAGATCTTAAAAAACATCAGTGGTGTCAGGAATGGAAGCAAATACTGCTAAAAGGTAATGGCACAGTCACCCAGAGCCAACCAAGGAGGGCTCATTCCCTGGAGTGACTCTCCTTCCAAGATACCAACAATGGTCACACTTCACAAGTGGGCTCCTGTAGATGTGCCACAGACGTGTCTCAGATGGACAGCAAGGAGGGTCTCTTTATCAAACCTTCAGGATGCAGAACACCAGCCCTTCAGACCACAAGCCCCTCTGGGAGATAAGCAGGACTCAGTGAAGGCTCCTTCCACAGGACAAGGGTAAACACACGGGGTTCTTCCCCTTCGCTTTGCATACTGTGTCCTACAGCTGTCGTGGCTACCACTGCTCTACTCTTCAATAAATTATAGAGCAGTCTCTTGTTAATTCCCTCTTCTACAAAAATTACAAGCACTTCTGGTTTAGTTCTCTTCTTTGACTGATTAAACCTTTTGTCTTCTTAGGTGACATTCGAGGTGCTGGGGCAACCTGCTGATGGCAATGTTAACTTTGGGTAGTCAGGCCATGAGCATTTGTACTTGGATGACATTAGTAGAGAGTTTTCCATCTCTGACCCCAAGGACAGTAAAATACAGCTGCTCAACCCCATCAAGGACTCTGTTACAAAAAGACAAGTTTTCCCTCTTGGATTGTCTTCTCGACATATGGAATCAATCGAAAACTCCATCACTAATGAGTTGAATCTTTGTTAGCCGGTGAAGCCTGTGACTCCAAAGGTTTGAGTCTTTCAGAAATAATGGCTTCATCCACATAGCATCTTCAGTACTGGTGTAAAAACACGACCCCCACCAGGTTCTTCAAACAACTTTCTTTGTCCTGCTAACTCTAATGCCTCTGTTCCTTAACAAATTTAATTGTTATCAAATCCTAGTTTTACTATATGATTATAAGACAAGAGGAGCAGTTTCCTCTTTATAGACTTTTAAAATTAAAATCTTTTAAAATAGGGCTGGAGAGATGGCTCAGCGGTTAAGAGCACTGGCTGCTCTTCCAGAGGTCCTGTGTTCAATTCCCAGCAACCACATGGTGGCTCACAACCATCTGTAATGAGATCTGGCACACAATAAATAAATAAATTAAAAAAAATCTTTTAAAATAAAAAACCCATTATTTTTTGGAAGATTCATCTAGATATTCAAACATTTAAAAAATAGCTCTCATAAGCTGGGTTCTGTGTAATAAGAATAAAAATATAAAATACAGATCATAAAAATACCAGGTACAAGCTGGGTGGTGGTGGCTCATGCCTTTAATCCCAGCACTTGGGAGGCAGAGCCAGGAGGATCTCTGTGAGTTCAAGGCCAGCCTGGGCTACAGAGCAAGTTCCAGGACAGGCTCCAAAGCTACACAGAGAAACCCGTCTCGAAAAAACAAAACCAAATCAAAACAAAATAAAACAAAAATATCAGGTACAGGGTGGGAAGTAGATGAAGGTATAGACCATATAAGAATGGGAGAATATTCTGTCCGTGGCAACGCTATTTGTGTGGGTTGTAGGGGGAGGGGGCAGTGCTTCTGTGTGTGTGAAGGCTTAGAAGGTTGACATCAGACATCTCCCTCAATGACTCTTCATTTATTTATTTATTTATTTATTCATTCATTCATTCATTTTGGTTTTTCGAGACAGGGTTTCTCTGTGTAGCTTTGGTGCCTGTTCTGGATCTCTCTCTGTAGACTAGGCTGGCCTTGAACTCACAGAGATTCGCCTGGCTCTGCCTCCCGAGTGCTGTGATTAAAGGTTTGTGTCACCACTGTCTGGCTCCTCGCTTTATTTTTATTTATTTATTTATTTATTTATTTATTTTGGTTTTTCGAGACAGGGTTTCTCTGTGTAGCTTTGTGCCTTTCCTGGAACTCACTTGGTAGCCCAGGCTGGCCTCGAACTCACAGAGATCCGCCTGGCTCTGCCTCCTGAGTGCTGGGATTAAAGGCGTGCGCCACCACCACCCGACCCTTGC